ACCCACTGCAAGCAAAATAAGGTGGGAAGCTGAACAGATGCACCATGCACAGGCTAACAGTGTAAGCGTGTTGTCCAGTCCTCTGAGCTCTGGACACTTCTAAAACAGGAGTCCTCAGTCTGTGGTCTGCAGACCCCTGACAGCCCAGAGCCTCCTCCTGAAGACTCCCAGAAAGATTGCTGGAAATAAGCATGCTACGCAGAGGGCACATCTGAAAAACACACATTGCCATGCAAGCCCGTCCCGGGGCAGAGGTCTCACAAACTTAAAGGACCTTCTCTTCCTTCTGCACACTGCAACTAGCCAGTGGACAAAAATAGGACTCCTTTCCATTGGAAAGGTAGGCTGCAAGTATTTTTTCTAAACTGAGCTGTGTTTACAAACTTTGCTCATTGCAAATGATCCTCCTCTGTCTGTGCTGATGACCACTGCCTGTGGTGCCTGGCAGCTGCCTTGCTCTCCTGCTAGCCCAGGGATGGTGCTGCAGAATGGGGGTGTTGTGACAACTTCAGGTGGCATGAACTTGGGTGGAAGTTCCTCTGGTCACTGGCTTCACGAGCTCTGCGCAGTGAGTGATTAGGCGGACAACTCTGCTAAAGAAAGGCCGGGATGCTCATGGAAATGACAAGCTGTTCAGTTGCCAGCAGTCTCCTCGACAAGGGTTTGCCCTCAGGCCTTGCTACAACCCTCTCGCAATGACTGTTCAGGCACTGTTTGCCCCCTACCAATAAGCAAATCTTAGGTCAGTTCTCCATAAATCCTCGCACCTCCCAGGACGTTTGTTTGCCCAGCCCATGGAGTGGTAACATTCACTCCCACACCACATTTCCCCACAAGCTGCTTGCTACTCTGCTTCTGAAATCGTCATCTCATGAGCTGCCACCTCCTCACGCTGCTGGCTCACCTGAGGACAACTTCTGAGAGCACCAAGAGCACTTTGGGAAACAGCCTACTAAAATCAAGAGCCTAACCATACAATGCCAGTTGCCCTGGAAGATATAACAGCACCAGCCTCACTGAAGTTCATATACTGCAATTAATCCTACAGGGATTAATTAACTTCTGACAGGCCTCGGTTTGAAAATTATGGTGGACATTTCCTGAATCACAGTATCACTCAGGCACTTTATCAAACCACAACAGAAGAGAGAGACTTAGATTGATTCTGGCTTCCCAAGGCAGGGTTTATCCTGTGCTGGGAAATTAAGTCGTAGTTCTTGATTTCTCCAAATTCCCGATTTTCAAAATTGGGATATCTGGTTTGAGCTGAGCTCTGGTACTTTATAGCGCTAACAGTAACAGCTTGTTACTAGTGCTACTTCAGTCCTGAACTGGGACAGCAAGTCCAGTGCTGCAGCAGAACAGGATACACAGATGGCCATTCAGGGATGTTTCATACCTTATGCACAGTGATGCCCATTAAAGTCTGTATTACTTTTACCTTCTCTTCCCATGAGACACCTTGTCCTCATAAACTCAGAAACTACAAAAATTGGCATGAGTTGCTCTAAGGCTTGAAAGTGTAGCCAGATCAGAAAATGATGGCTACTGCGACAGCGTGCAGCTCTAATACTTGCAGCAAAGGAGTCCTAGCATAGCAAAATAAAAATGAAATAAAATAATGGCGTTGTGATGACAGGCATGTATCAGCTACCATCTTCAAGGCTGTTGTATCATCAGAAGGCTGGAACAAGAATTACCCAATTTTCCACTCCTGCAGGAAATAGATCATCCTTGCTTCTCTTTTTTTTTTATCAGCATAATGAATATTTGCTTTCTTTTGTCCGGGAGAAAACAGTTTATCTCTTTCATTCTCAGACAGTGTGGAGGAGTCCTAGAAAAGGCTGGGATCTCGGTTCAAAAGCGCACCAGTGCACAGGCCCTGTTTAAAGACAGGGGTATTCCCATCCTGCCTTCATCGCTGGCTTCAGCAGCTGCATACCAAACCACAAAGCTCTTTGCCCATCATCACCTGTCAGCAGCTGGGTGATGCTGTAAGAGTTTTAAATAATGTCTGAACACCTTGGGGAGTGCTTGATAGAGGTGTTGGGACACCACCAAAAGACACTAAGAAAACCTACACCCTTACCGACCGTGGACAGGAGTTCTCACTGGGACCTGTCAGACAGGATTTGGAAAAGCATTAAGCAGCCAGGAATACACATCCCATTTCCAGAAGAGCCTTGCAAACACCGGTGCTCTGGGTTATACTCACATCAACACTTGCAGGTTCTGGATCAAATCCCGCAAGACTGCATTTTTATGTGCGTTAACTCTCAGGCTGCCTGTGAAAGCAAGCAAGGCCTGACTCAGTACCACTGTAGGTACAGCATGAGTAACAAACAAACATAGAGGAGATCTTGCACCTAAATCTCAGAGTCCTGCTCCCTCACCCCTAATAAGCCTTTTGCCTCCCTCTCCCTGGAGGTTACCTGAGGGCTTATTTTCAAACAACATTTCAGGGGATGCGGGCTAGGATGTGAATATGCAGCACTTGAACACCTCAGTAGTGATGGTTCCTTTGAAAAAGTCATCTTTGTGTTCAGTTCACCTGATGCCACGCTCGTGGCAGAAACCCTGCAAATCACACAAAACAGCCATCTGCGCAGGCACAAGCCCTCTTGCCAAACTTCCATCACTGAGATGATACATTGTGCAGGAAAAATCCAGTTCTATTTGTCATTGCTTGCCAAAACACGTACACACCCTACATCTATGCAGACAACCGTGCTATTATCTGATGGTTTGTAGGTGCTCCATGCCAGACCTTTTACATTGAAAGGCACATGGTAAATGTCTAGACACCTAATGCTCTGCTCCATGCTGAGGCCAGGAGTTGTACTCTGTGTGTATTTGGTGAGGGAAGAAGAGGAGGGTTGCCAGACAAGCTAGTAAGATGCCATCAAAACTGGTGAGGTCTCAGATCTGATTTCTCTTTATGTCTCTGCATTCTTCCCCTAAAGCAAAGGCAGTTCCTCACACAGCGCCTGTTGCTGTTCATGCTGCAAATTAGCAAGTCACTGTCTCAGTGGCACTACATCAGAAAAGCCGGGAGACTGTATTCATCCTCCCTCTATGGAAGCAAGCACGCTAATCCCCACCCATCTATCCTAAATAGAGAAGGTAAAGATCTCTGCCATACCTGGATGTTCCTAAAACCTCCAGATTCTACCCATATTTAACTAGTCTTTACTCATTTTTGTGCTAGCCCATGCTGCGAAGATGCTGACACGTATCACAGGCTCCTGGCAGATACCACTGTTGTCCAGAAAGAGCAGGGATTTTAGAGGCCACCTGGCTCTCACAATGTGAGCAGGGAGACATTCCTGTACTTCCTG